TTCTCCAGTTCTTCACTGACTGTGTGTAGAACATGAAGCCACTTGCACTTCTTGGACTCCTTAACAACCTGTGCCTGCTTACCGAGGTCACGTCCATAAGAGTGGATAATCAAAATATCAATATCAAGACTGTCAGGTGGAAAAGACAACCGCTCCTCTGGCGAAAAACCAATTCGCTTTTTAGCATCAACAAGCTTAATATTTAACTGTTTGGCTTGTTCTTTCTGCTCTTGAGAGCTGTTTGGCACCAGTCCACTGACCTTCACTCTTGGATCCTTGGCAAGTTCAATAACTAGTTGGCCATTCACTGTTGTGTTCCAACCCTCAGCATTTGTAGCCAGTGTTATGTTCAATCTGTGTTCATCTTTCATTGAAGAAAAGCCTTAAAGTATAATGTAAACATATATAAATATTATATTGTGAGTTAATTAATCCTTAAAAAATACTACACATTAAATATAGACAATAAGTAAATAAAATTCTCAAACAACATAGTTTACATGTATTTCAGGTAACTATTGTAAATAACTAGGAAAAATAAATTCAAGTGTAATGCATATCTGCACAATCATCTGATAAGTACAGGATTCATCCATGTAGACATATACATGTTGATTCACTTTCCTCAGCCAAGCTAATTGTAGGTCTCATATAAAATATTACCCCTTACTCTTAGAATTTCATGGAACTCTGTTGAATTCCTTGAAATTTGTGTTTGGAGGTATGTATAAGGGTCCACAGAGTTTTACAGTCAGGTAAATGGGCCATATCATGTACCAACAGTAACTGATCATGACAAGAGAGCCTCTCAGGGGTAGGAGAAAATACAAGTCAAGCATTTTTCCTTGATCCCTTAAAAACTTTGCATTTTCTCCCTTGTTCCCAAGTGAGCGATCAATCTCTTTTTTTATGGGATCTTGATGGGCTTAAAACGGACACTCGCTCATCATGAACAGTACTGCCTGTCCCAATGAAACACTCATATTTTCTCAGATAACCTTGGTCCCAATAAAATACCTGGACACTTAAGCATGTTGTCATGCCCCTTTGCTGTCTGAACTGTATTAGCTGAGTCCCATTGTACACATTTGGCCATGCAAGAAATGTACAATTTAAATCCAGATCCAACTTTCAAATTTCCCAAATCCAATATGCACCAAACTTGCAAAACAACCTCAAGACCTTCAAGCAGAATGTATTTCTCGATCCCCAAATTCCAACACATGAACATAAACCCAGGGTAGTCAATCAATAAAACTTGATATCAAAAAACTACTCGATAAATCGTTATCAATTGATAAACTCAATTTAAGTGTTATAGATGTTGTTGGTCAATCGATAAAACTCGATACTCACACGCTGGCGAAGTTTCAAAGCAAGGCTGTGGTCTAAGACAAATTATGAGGAGCCCAAAGGTTCCTAACCATAAAATCCTGGGTGCCCAGCACTAAAACTTATATGAAAAAAGTACTAAGATTTTCTAGTCGCCCAAAGGCAAAAGTTAGGTGCCTGTAGCCCCCTAGTCTCCTTCGCAGCCGTTATTAGGGTCGTCACGCAAAGATCCTCCCCACTAGTGCGTGACGACCCTAATAACGGCTGCGAAGGAGACTAGTAGCCCCCAGGTGTCTTTAGAGCACAGCCCTGCAAAGTTAGATTTTATTGATTTCATCGCATTTATTTGATTGACTTAATTTGTTTGCTAGTTTAAAAAGCTTTAAAATTGAAGCTGTATCCATTGACCTGTTTGATTGGGACTTTTTAAAGGTGGATTTTGTGGACGTACACTAAAATGAAATAAAGATCGATCAGTAAATTTCGGAGTCACAGCTAGTTCTACAGATTCAAGTCCAGGAGTTGACACTCATTTAAGGGGGAAAGTACATTTACGAGAGGAAAGTGAAATTGCAACTTTTCAAATACTTGATTTTTTGAAGCTCATGAATTCTTAGGACCAAATATCATTTTCCTCCACTCAATCAGACATTAATTTTACCCCAGTGATTTCTTGAATTTGCTGATTTTTCAAACCAATTCTTGTTTCCCTAGGAGGTTCGAAAAATTGGGATTCCACTGTATGAACGAGATGATAGTAAATATCATTACCATTCTGTGTATATTGAATTTTTATAATTATTTATGTTAACTATCATTTCTTATGAGTCTTATGAAAAGTTGTGGCAGATTTTATTGATTAACAATGGGTGGTTTAAGGAAGTTATTAGTGGTTTTGCCAGTTTGTTTATATCTTTTGTTGGTTTCGTTTTGATGAATTGCGAGATAAGCTAGAATCGATAAACTTGATTGTACTGATAAAATCGATAAGGCCATCCCCCCCTTTTTTTTCCATTTAGCGTCAAATGCATGTCCTGATATTGGATTGGTCAGTCAGATTGAAAAAGAAAAAACCTAAAAAAAAGAATCACAAGAAGTCTCTGAATAGGAGGCCTGGTACCCCAGCATCATTGCTGTGGAGCAAACAAATTATTAATTTTCCAAATATTTTTATGCAGAAATTGAAACGAAATTAATCCAACAAAGCAATACCAAGCCAAGAGAATGGAAACATCACATTGATGACGTGTTCTCCCTTTGGGATTGCGACAGAAAAGATGTAGATTGCTTTATTAAACAAGCTAACTATTTCCACCCTACTATCAAATTCACAGCCGAAATATCGAAGAACCAAATTAATTTCCATGATACTACAGTGTGTAAAGGGGAAAGATTCACAAAAGATTCCATCTTGGACATCAAAACAAGCTGACCGAGACCTTCCAATTCACACACTTCACCTTGTGCCACCCACCGGCACCAGGCATCATTTAAGGCGAAGCAATAAGATTGCTTAGAACTAACTACTCGAAAAAAACATTTGAAGTCAGAGCCTATCGAAATTCAAACAACGCCTCATAGCAAGAGGGAAACATCATAGAAAGGTCCCTGGCCTGTCAGGGGTCAACTTTGCCTCTAGACAATCAGCACTCACACAAAAACAAAAAAAAAGGCCATGAGCAGATATTGCCTTTTAATTTGTCACAATGTACCATCCTGTACTAGTAAAAAATTTAAAACAAATACTTTATGAAACATTTGGAGTTTGATACATAATCAGCCTTTGCTGAAAACAAAATTTTCAAAACCTCTGATCATCTCTTAGAAAAAGGGAAAATCCCTCAAAGACACGCTTGTGAGAGCAAAAATATAATTTGAAGGCGATGATGCAACACGACCACAAAAGCCACATGGGGAGTCTGTGCCGCTCTTGCTGTCTTTACCTTTATTCTCATAGATTAACAAAATGCACAATATACAGTAAAAAATGTTCCTGTTTCTGTCCCTGTTTTTCTCTAGTAATGCTATTACTATGCGCATTTTTCAGATTAAAAGAACTATTTAAAGTGAAAAATGGTTTAACTATGTCATAACCTTTTTTTGAAAATGCCAAAAATACCGGTTGGTCGGGCGACACTAAATGGAGAAAAAAAGAGGATGGCTTAATGCTAAGTGAAAAATCGATAATTATCGATTACTCACAGTAAACACTGTTATCGATTTTTATTGATTTTGGATATCATTGACTAAGTTTTATCGATTGGTGTCGAATATTAATATTATTGATTGTCAATTTTATCGATTGACTATCCCGGGACACTACAGTACAAGTGCACCCAAAGCTAAAGATGGTTTTAAACTTGAAGTTCAGCATATTTGATTGCTACAGATCTTAAAACCTGAAATATTAATACCTTAAGTAAAATTCAAACAAAACTTATGAATGGATAACAAGCTAAAATCTCCATTTCAATTCAATGCCCTTTTACGTAACAGGAAAATTTGTAAACAACACATCCTTATAATCATAACTAATATGGTCAGCACACACAATGGGACTTGTCCCCGTGACTTGTTGTAGAGTGAATTCAAGTATTTCCAATTTTTGGCGAGGAAAAAAATTGGAAAAATTTTTGCAAGATCCAGATTTTGGCAGTGGTTGCATTAGACCAACGTGTTGGAGCCAACATGTTACTGATTGAAATATACATCACAAGATCTATATTTCTCAATTATAAACAATTATTGGATGAGGTATTTGTGATATCCAGAATAATCAAGGTCAAGGTCGGGGTCATCAGCCGAAACCAAAGGCTGAGGCTGATAACCCTTACCGAGACCTTGTATTTTCTGGATATCACACCGACCGAATCTAATAATTGTTTTATCATGCATTGAACGAAAAAAATGGATGTCATGTTTTTGCTTCTTCACTGATGGCAAGCAACACAAATTGCACGAACTTGACATGATTACCTGTGACCTTGAGTGCCCTTGACATGATTATTCTATAATCTGCAGAGATGATGTCACAGACACTGATTTCAAAAATTCACTGTGTGCTTTCGACCAATCAGAAAAGAGATAGTGAGTTTAATGTATAATAAATTACTTTAGTATATACCACACACAAGTGAATAGTGCTTTTCGCACACTCTGATTGGTTAACTCGGAGGTGATTAGCAAGTACTTCATGTATTCACCTCTGAGCAGCTGGCGCGAGAGATTTTAAAATTTCCGACCGCTTGTCACAAATAAAATAACGTTTTGGTCCGCTAATTATTCAGTTTGTGTGGTATATACTAAAACAATTATTCACCTCAGTGTCGGTGAAAGTGATGGATATTTACCTCCACTTCGGTGAACAATTGTTAATTATTATACAAACAAAATTGGCTCTCGTGCGACCCGGGTCTAATACAAATTCAGCGTGTTATAATGCTCTTCCCACGTTTTCGACTTTAAATAAACTATTACTATCACTATCACTATTACTTATCATACTGCAAACAGATCTGAAAAGTAAACGAGTGACCTTTCCGTTTCAGATCGATCGTGATTTCCAACTGATCGAATCATCAGAGATATGATGATGCACGCTTTAGATATAAAAATTGAACGAAGAAGCACAAGCTAGATGAACACATTTGTCCACTTATTAAACTCACCTTCCTCTCCTGCAAATAACTTTTCTTTTTTGCTTTCCATTTCTCTCTCGCTCTCACCATCTCAGTTCTGCATGCACGTACGTCAACCCCCGGAATCATCCGGATGCTTTCGGAGAAAACAAGGAAGTCATTGGCATGGCTAGTGCCAGTGTCCTAACGGTACAAGCTCTAGACGCTCGGGAGTGTTTGCACACACGTCGTTAATGAGAGATTGAACTTCAAGTTCTTCGTCTCTTTTCACGTCAACTATTACCCAGCGACATAAAATGGAACCAGGCAAGCAAGGAGTTAAAGGTGAGATGAAATGATTTCCGTTCTAGTCGTAGAACTTGCTCTCTATCAGCAAAAGCACCCTAGTTCGATTGACGGAGAATTTAATACATGTAGCTCCCCAAACCGTAGCTACGAAATGTTCTGTTCTGAATGATATGTTTGTTCTTTGCGCAAAGTGATATCATCATCTCTCTTATTTGTATGAATCCAAACATTTCATATTACGACTGTCCTTTCACAAGCTTGAATTAAAATTCAAAAAGGAACTTGCGAGTAATGGGGCTGTACGCGCGTCCCGCGAAATTTGATTCGTCAGCACTTTCGATTTTAACCTGCGAACGCAGACGTATTTCCGGCTGTCACTTGATTCCGCCGAAAAATAACGTCTGCGAACCAGAGCCAGGAAACTATTTCTGTGCTGTAATGACTTTTGCTTCTCCTTGGCCAATCAGATTCCATGATATAATGAAACTCAAGTGCTCCTCGCAGCGAATACCTTGTGCAGTAGTTCTGGGGTTATTTGAGCTAAACTGTGATTGGCTTAGCATTCCTATGTCACAGAAATCGTTTTCTGGCTCGGGTTCGCAGACGTTATTTTTCAACGGAACCAAGTGACAGCTGGAAATATGTCTGCGTTCGCAGGCTACATGTATTTCGATTTGCGTGTACAGTGTACAAGGAATTCAACTCCTTCGGAGAGGGGTAGGGGATACTATGAAAACCGATTCCATGTGCCAGGTGTTACGGTTGCGAGACATTATTTTCAACTACATATATGTTAAGCATAAGCTTATAAAAAATTAATTAATTAATTGAATTATCCCTCGCCCCCCTAAAACACACTTAGTTGCAAACCGTTTCCATCAGGACACCACTACCGGATATTAACTGATGTCCCAAACTTTGTACTCAATGTGATATTGGTGGCCAACCTCCCCCCCATTTCTTAAATTCCCCAAGATTACACAATACCTTTGTGGGTGTCCTTTATTGTTTTTAAAGAAAATAAACTACCACAAAACTATTATTATCAATAGAAAGACTTTGAACTGTAGAATTCAGAAAAAATATCTGCTGTTTTGGCTGTGTCTTTCTTGAAAGGAAAGAAACCTGGAAATGGAAAACAACCATTATTGTCATTCGGCTAAATTAATCAGGTATCAAAGGCAAGAAGTAATGTTTAAAGGGTTAATCAGCAGGATCAATGTTTCAAACCATGTCAGCGTTTTTCCGTATTCTTATTGGTTATCTTTCTATAGACTGTCCCGTAAAGTTACAGTATTGAAAAATTTATCGACTGTGCTGTGTTTGTGGCTGTCACAAGAGAAATATCCACAATATAAAAAATCCTCAAGTCTGTTTTGTTCCTTGATGTGTTCTGGTCAAATTTCATGAAAATCTACCAATTCTACATACTCCATTAATTCATTTAAAGAGATGATATTCTTGCAAAAAACTATTGCGAGTTTTCGCCATTTGAAGAGTTGTAAACAATTGTCATGCCTTTACTCAGATGTATATCAACAGAATATGCTGCCTGCAGCCAATGAAATGATGGTACCTCTAGCGTTCACAGCGAGCAATTTTCTCAGGAATTTGAAGGCAGTAATGGTGTAATAGTCATGTTCTCCTTGTTGAACTTCAGTGTGTGTTTATAGAGCAGTCTTGACCCCTTGTGAGAAATAGGGAAAACCAAGAGAAATAAGAGGGGCAAGTCAGAGTTATGGGTACAAGTACACACAATCCCTTTTCACTGTCGGCCAAAGTTTTCTTCTTTCCTTTGAGAAATTCCGCTTTTGTCTTCTTCTTCTTTCGTCCTGGCTTTGATTTTTTCGCTGTCCAAGGACTTTTCTCTTCTTTTTTAGTACATTTCATGACCTCAATAAGGAGTGATAGAAAGGATGGAAGAACAAATTGATTTGAAAACCAAAACTGCGAAATTGTGTCTAAACAAAGAAATGCTAACGAGGCCCTTGTAATAAGAACTCCAGGATGAAGCTGTTTCATGCAAAAAGTCGATGCACTACGAGCTAGGATTATGGCACCTAACTGTTTTATTAACTTTTACTGAGAAACCTAGTTTCTGAATAACTCTCTGGCATTTCAAGGTTTTACTTCCATTTTTTGGGAAATGTTAGATTTTATAGCAACCTTTCTTTTTTGTTTTAAAAGGAAAATTCAATAGAAGTAGTACTCTTTAAGGTATTGTGTAACCTTAAGGTTTTATCCAGTGAAGGGGTTGATCTCATTCCCAGGGTGTCTCTTCTTTCTGCTATGATTTCTCTCAGTCAGTGGGGCATTTGCATGAGACAGAGGACAGACGTCTCTGTGTTAACAGGCCTTCTGATATTGCGCGATGGTGGGATTTCGCACAATCGACCTCAAATCACCTTGATCACACAATTCATGAAAAATCAGTCACATAATTCACAACAAATCACACAATTTTAACAAAATAAACCATTAGTCAAACGCTTTACCTGGAAAAATGCTACATCTACTCGTTGTTTCAAGATGATTTGGCTTTGAAAAGACCTTGAAAACCTCCAACAACCTTCGTAAACAATCGAAGTTCAAGGTGTTCCTTAGATGTCTGGGGACTGGCACCATTGTTCAATCTCAAAGAATTGCCCAGTGGTGCAATGCAGTCGCTTTCTTTGCTAAATGGGCCAATCAGAATTGCTGACATATAAAATGGACAACATATGATCCATGATCCAAGCGATGATTATTCCACTGGCAAAATGTAGCTTCTTTAGTAGAATTCAAAATGAATGTCTCTCGTGGATAGGTTTGTAGTCCAAATGCCTGCTTTTTCTACTGAAAAGACTAAATCACACCTTCTGCCAAATTTAACTGCAAAAACTAGAGCAAGAAAATATCCCTTCCACATGGATGATAGGCTGAAGATGCAACATTGTGATCAATCATCTTTGGAAGTCCGTGGTGGAGTCCTTGAGTCTTTTATAATGCAATTTATGCTGCAGCTATTGTATATTCTACAGTATTACATGTACATCCAACCTTCCCATCATGCCCCACACATGTTACATTGATTGTGTTTGCCACTGTATTTTCTATGGCATGGTATAAAATAGATGAATGAAATGCTCTCTTGTGGTATACCACAAAATATCTTACTCGTCACTTATATTTTCTTGGTATACACCCTTGCCTAAAGGCTCATGTTTACACCAAGAAAATACAGGTGACTTGTGGGATATCGCATGGTATACCACTTGGAAGCATTGCATAACTAGTATGTATCTTCCCCATTGAATGAAGTTTGATTGGTCATTACAAATCATGTCAAAAATTAATCTTATCAAGATACATGCAGTCTTGACTGTGTGAAACAGTGGATTGACAGCACATATACAATTTTCTATCTGGGTTTGATCTGTTTTCCTTAAATCACATCAAATTTATTCTCAGCAGATGGCCAGAAATTGAATCTCACTTTGGCTTCAAGTAATGAGGGCTGGGACAAGGCTGTGAATGGACAGTTGCTTCTTGAATTTGCCAGCAATTCAAGAGTGAAAGTGAGTGGATTTGTACCAAAAAGCACTCAACAACAGAGAGAAGATGCTAAGAAGTTAGGTATAGAGCTTGTTGATGCAAAGGAACTCCCTGGTCACTCTTCATCAGATCTGCTGGCATATCCACCTGACAGTCTTAACATTGATGTCCTGATGATACACTCTTATGGCCGANAACAGGAAAATTTGTAAACAACACATCCTTATAATCATAACTAATATGGTCAGCACACACAATGGGACTTGTCCCCGTGACTTGTTGTAGAGTGAATTCAAGTATTTCCAATTTTTGGCGAGGAAAAAAATTGGAAAAATTTTTGCAAGATCCAGATTTTGGCAGTGGTTGCATTAGACCAACGTGTTGGAGCCAACATGTTACTGATTGAAATATACGTCACAAGATCTATATTTCTCAATTATAAACAATTATTGGATGAGGTATTTGTGATATCCAGAATAATCAAGGTCAAGGTAGGGGTCATCAGCCGAAACCAAAGGCTGAGGCTGATAACCCTTACCGAGACCTTGTTTATTCTGGATATCACACCAACCGAATCTAATAATTGTTTTATCATGCATTGAACGAAAAAAATGGATGTCATGTTTTTGCTTCTTCACTGATGGCAAGCAACACAAATTGCACGAACTTGACATGATTACCTGTGACCTTGAGTGCCCTTGACATGATTATTCTATAATCTGCAGAGATGATGTCACAGACACTGATTTCAAAAATTCACTGTGTGCTTTCGACCAATCAGAAAAGAGATAGTGAGTTTAATGTATAATAAATTACTTTAGTATATACCACACACAAGTGAATAGTGCTTTTCGCACACTCTGATTGGTTAACTCGGAGGTGATTAGCAAGTACTTCATGTATTCACCTCTGAGCAGCTGGCGCGAGAGATTTTAAAATTTCTGACCGCTTGTCACAAATAAAATAACGTTTTGGTCCGCTAATTATTCAGTTTGTGTGGTATATACTAAAACAATTATTCACCTCAGTGTCGGTGAAAGTGATGGATATTTACCTCGACTTCGGTGAACAATTGTTAATTATTATACAAACAAAATTGGCTCTCGTGCGACCCGGGTCTAATACAAATTCAGCGTGTTATAATGCTCTTCCCACGTTTTCGACTTTAAATAAACTATTACTATCACTATCACTATTACTTATCATACTGCAAACAGATCTGAAAAGTAAACGAGTGACCTTTCCGTTTCAGATCGATCGTGATTTCCAACTGATCGAATCATCAGAGATATGATGATGCACGCTTTAGATATAAAAATTGAACGAAGAAGCACAAGCTAGATGAACACATTTGTCCACTTATTAAACTCACCTTCCTCTCCTGCAAATAACTTTTCTTTTTTGCTTTCCATTTCTCTCTCGCTCTCACCATCTCAGTTCTGCATGCACGTACGTCAACCCCCGGAATCATCCGGATGCTTTCGGAGAAAACAAGGAAGTCATTGGCATGGCTAGTGCCAGTGTCCTAACGGTACAAGCTCTAGACGCTCGGGAGTGTTTGCACACACGTCGTTAATGAGAGATTGAACTTCAAGTTCTTCGTCTCTTTTCACGTCAACTATTACCCAGCGACATAAAATGGAACCAGGCAAGCAAGGAGTTAAAGGTGAGATGAAATGATTTCCGTTCTAGTCGTAGAACTTGCTCTCTATCAGCAAAAGCACCCTAGTTCGATTGACGGAGAATTTAATACATGTAGCTCCCCAAACCGTAGCTACGAAATGTTCTGTTCTGAATGATATGTTTGTTCTTTGCGCAAAGTGATATCATCATCTCTCTTATTTGTATGAATCCAAACATTTCATATTACGACTGTCCTTTCACAAGCTTGAATTAAAATTCAAAAAGGAACTTGCGAGTAATGGGGCTGTACGCGCGTCCCGCGAAATTTGATTCGTCAGCACTTTCGATTTTAACCTGCGAACGCAGACGTATTTCCGGCTGTCACTTGATTCCGCCGAAAAATAACGTCTGCGAACCAGAGCCAGGAAACTATTTCTGTGCTGTAATGACTTTTGCTTCTCCTTGGCCAATCAGATTCCATGATATAATGAAACTCAAGTGCTCCTCGCAGCGAATACCTTGTGCAGTAGTTCTGGGGTTATTTGAGCTAAACTGTGATTGGCTTAGCATTCCTATGTCACAGAAATCGTTTTCTGGCTCGGGTTCGCAGACGTTATTTTTCAACGGAACCAAGTGACAGCTGGAAATATGTCTGCGTTCGCAGGCTACATGTATTTCGATTTGCGTGTACAGTGTACAAGGAATTCAACTCCTTCGGAGAGGGGTAGGGGATACTATGAAAACCGATTCCATGTGCCAGGTGTTACGGTTGCAAGACATTATTTTCAACTACATATATGTTAAGCATAAGCTTATAAAAAATTAATTAATTAATTGAATTATCCCTCGCCCCCCTAAAACACACTTAGTTGCAAACCGTTTCCATCAGGACACCACTACCGGATATTAACTGATGTCCCAAACTTTGTACTCAATGTGATATTGGTGGCCAACCTCCCCCCCATTTCTTAAATTCCCCAAGATTACACAATACCTTTGTGGGTGTCCTTTATTGTTTTTAAAGAAAATAAACTACCACAAAACTATTATTATCAATAGAAAGACTTTGAACTGTAGAATTCAGAAAAAATATCTGCTGTTTTGGCTGTGTCTTTCTTGAAAGGAAAGAAACCTGGAAATGGAAAACAACCATTATTGTCATTCGGCTAAATTAATCAGGTATCAAAGGCAAGAAGTAATGTTTAAAGGGTTAATCAGCAGGATCAATGTTTCAAACCATGTCAGCGTTTTTCCGTATTCTTATTGGTTATCTTTCTATAGACTGTCCCGTAAAGTTACAGTATTGAAAAATTTATCGACTGTGCTGTGTTTGTGGCTGTCACAAGAGAAATATCCACAATATAAAAAATCCTCAAGTCTGTTTTGTTCCTTGATGTGTTCTGGTCAAATTTCATGAAAATATACCAATTCTACATACTCCATTAATTCATTTAAAGAGATGATATTCTTGCAAAAAACTATTGCGAGTTTTCGCCATTTGAAGAGTTGTAAACAATTGTCATGCCTTTACTCAGATGTATATCAACAGAATATGCTGCCTGCAGCCAATGAAATGATGGTACCTCTAGCGTTCACAGCGAGCAATTTTCTCAGGAATTTGAAGGCAGTAATGGTGTAATAGTCATGTTCTCCTTGTTGAACTTCAGTGTGTGTTTATAGAGCAGTCTTGACCCCTTGTGAGAAATAGGGAAAACCAAGAGAAATAAGAGGGGCAAGTCAGAGTTATGGGTACAAGTACACACAATCCCTTTTCACTGTCGGCCAAAGTTTTCTTCTTTCCTTTGAGAAATTCCGCTTTTGTCTTCTTCTTCTTTCGTCCTGGCTTTGATTTTTTCGCTGTCCAAGGACTTTTCTCTTCTTTTTTAGTACATTTCATGACCTCAATAAGGAGTGATAGAAAGGATGGAAGAACAAATTGATTTGAAAACCAAAACTGCGAAATTGTGTCTAAACAAAGAAATGCTAACGAGGCCCTTGTAATAAGAACTCCAGGATGAAGCTGTTTCATGCAAAAAGTCGATGCACTACGAGCTAGGATTATGGCACCTAACTGTTTTATTAACTTTTACTGAGAAACCTAGTTTCTGAATAACTCTCTGGCATTTCAAGGTTTTACTTCCATTTTTTGGGAAATGTTAGATTTTATAGCAACCTTTCTTTTTTGTTTTAAAAGGAAAATTCAATAGAAGTAGTACTCTTTAAGGTATTGTGTAACCTTAAGGTTTTATCCAGTGAAGGGGTTGATCTCATTCCCAGGGTGTCTCTTCTTTCTGCTATGATTTCTCTCAGTCAGTGGGGCATTTGCATGAGACAGAGGACAGACGTCTCTGTGTTAACAGGCCTTCTGATATTGCGCGATGGTGGGATTTCGCACAATCGACCTCAAATCACCTTGATCACACAATTCATGAAAAATCAGTCACATAATTCACAACAAATCACACAATTTTAACAAAATAAACCATTAGTCAAACGCTTTACCTGGAAAAATGCTACATCTACTCGTTGTTTCAAGATGATTTGGCTTTGAAAAGACCTTGAAAACCTCCAACAACCTTCGTAAACAATCGAAGTTCAAGGTGTTCCTTAGATGTCCGGGGACTGGCACCATTGTTCAATCTCAAAGAATTGCCCAGTGGTGCAATGCAGTCGCTTTCTTTGCTAAATGGGCCAATCAGAATTGCTGACATATAAAATGGACAACATATGATCCATGATCCAAGCGATGATTATTCTGCTGGCAAAATGTAGCTTCTTTAGTAGAATTCAAAATGAATGTCTCCCGTGGATAGGTTTGTAGTCCAAATGCCTGCTTTTTCTACTGAAAAGACTAAATCACACCTTCTGCCAAATTTAACTGCAAAAACTAGAGCAAGAAAATATCCCTTCCACATGGATGATAGGCTGAAGATGCAACATTGTGATCAATCATCTTTGGAAGTCCGTGGTGGAGTCCTTGAGTCTTTTATAATGCAATTTATGCTGCAGCTATTGTATATTCTACAGTATTACATGTACATCCAACCTTCCCATCATGCCCCACACATGTTACATTGATTGTGTTTGCCACTGTATTTTCTATGGCATGGTATAAAATAGATGAATGAAATGCTCTCTTGTGGTATACCACAAAATATCTTACTCGTCACTTATATTTTCTTGGTATACACCCTTGCCTAAAGGCTCATGTTTACACCAAGAAAATACAGGTGACTTGTGGGATATCGCATGGTATACCACTTGGAAGCATTGCATAACTAGTATGTATCTTCCCCATTGAATGAAGTTTGATTGGTCATTACAAATCATGTCAAAAATTAATCTTATCAAGATACATGCAGTCTTGACTGTGTGAAACAGTGGATTGACAGCACATATACAATTTTCTATCTGGGTTTGATCTGTTTTCCTTAAATCACATCAAATTTATTCTCAGCAGATGGCCAGAAATTGAATCTCACTTTGGCTTCAAGTAATGAGGGCTGGGACAAGGCTGTGAATGGACAGTTGCTTCTTGAATTTGCCAGCAATTCAAGAGTGAAAGTGAGTGGATTTGTACCAAAAAGCACTCAACAACAGAGAGAAGATGCTAAGAAGTTAGGTATAGAGCTTGTTGATGCAAAGGAACTCCCTGGTCACTCTTCATCAGATCTGCTGGCATATCCACCTGACAGTCTTAACATTGATGTCCTGATGATACACTCTTATGGCCGAGATGTGGGGCGACAAGCACAAGTTATCAAGGAGACAAAGAAGTGCAAATGGCTTCATGTTCTGCACACTGTAAGTGAAGAACTTGTGAAATTTGCAGCTGAGTACGAGTCTGAGCATGAAGTGCAGCTGGCATTGTGCCAGAAGGCTGATATTGTGATTGCAATTGGACCCAAAGTAGCAGAAGCTTACCAATCTGCTCTCCGCTCCAGTGGAAAGCAGAAAGACGTCATTGACCTAACACCTGGAATTTTTCACAACTTCATTGGTGTGCAGCCACCACCAGTGGATGGAGAAACATTTCGTGTGCTAATCAGTGGATCATTGAAATATTTCAAAATCAAGGGATGTGATATCGCCGCAAAAGCAATCAAGTTACTGAATACGCCATCCTTCCACCTCGTGTTTGTTGTGAAGCCTACTGAAAATGCTGCAGAGATAACCCAAGCCTTACTTGGCGAGGGCATTGATCCTGACCAACTCACTGTGAAAGTGTCAGGGAGCAGTGAAGATTGGACCAAGCTGCTTTGTGAGGCAGACCTTGCCATTAAGCCATCCAGGACAGAGGGTTTTGGAATAAGTGGTCTCCGTGCCATTTCTGCAGATCTTCCTGTTCTTGTCAGTGGGAACATTGGTCTTGGTGTTGCCCTGAAGAAGCTGCCCTCTGGAGCAAACTATGTCGTGGAATCTGATGACCCTCAGGTTTGGGCCGACAAAATGAAGGAGGTCAGAGCAAAGGACCCTGTAGCACGCAGTTTAGAAGCTGTGGTACTGAGAAAGGAATACAATGGCCAATTTAACTGGAAGGATCAGTGTGATAAGCTAGTTGACAAAATGTTTACTATGATTCCTAAATAACTTGGGATGTACATGTATATTAACATGTGATCAAAGCAGACTTTAGTAGCAAAAAAGCATTGTTATTATTTTGCTGTGTTTTCTTTGAAAAATGTTACATAAGTAGTGCTTGTCATGGTTTGAGAGATAGATGTGCAGATTTCAAAAGTACCATGTTGTGAAAATTGATATTAGTGCAGCTATGCTTTGAATATCTATAAGTTGGAGAGAAGTATAATATTTCTTAGACCGTCCCCAACATTCCGTATTGTATGTGTTCTAGATAGTTCTATGGATGAGAGCCAACCTGTGGTTGTTGTTTGGCGTGCATGAACATTTGTGTGGAAATACAACTTATAAAGGACACTGTGGATCTCAATAGAGTTGCATCTGCATCCATGTGACATTTTTAAATCAAATTTATAATGCCACCTCCACTGGGGATGAAATGAACACGTATTACAGAAATGTCTGCATAAACAAACCAAAGGCACATCCTGTGGAATTCACTTGTCGCTTTTAGTAAAGGAAATCGTTTCCAGTCAGCACAGTTATTATTATTCTTGTCTGTGAATCTTAATTTAATAGGATTGATCTTTTAAAATCCAATTTTTTAAACAAAGGTACATGTAGTATATGTTACATTTTTTTGACTGTAAAACACACTGTATTGTGAACATTGGATTCTTGATTGATTTCGAACTTAGAATTGTTGGGTTTTTATGGAGGGAGGAAACCAAGCTGGATCCAGGATTCATGTGACATGGTGGAGAGGCTAGCACACTCACTAAGTGCTGTGCCCTCCCTTCAGCCCCTCTGTAGATGTAAGTAGCCATTATATCATTTTTGTGGTCAGTGAAAATTTAAGGTCGAATGTTTGTAGCTCAATGGGAATAAGTAACATCAAGTTATTTTCAGGTTAATGCATCTCTCAGAGTTTGGCTAAAAGCCATCTTGATTCTCATTATGTATGATTTTATGTATGAATGAATCATTGCTTTAACTGATAACAATTTATATCAGCCAATCAGATATCACTCTTGGATGGGGATAATAAATATTGATAGACATGACAAAAGCAACTTCTCTCTTTACTCATTTTCCTTTTGTCCTGATTGTCTGAATGCCTCCTAGCATTAGTCAATTTAATAATAAATTTAGTTTATTCTTACATTGAAATATTTTTTCTTGAATCTGTTGACTGAACTACATGAGCAAAGCTGCATGCAGATTGAAGTGCTACATGACAATAAAACTTTTTGTGTTTAATTGAGTTATTTGCTTATGACCCAGAGCCCAGGAAGTGTTTGAGAGTGGGAGGGCTGACCAAATGAGCACAGACTCTGAGCCTTGTAGAGGAAGGGGAAGGGAAGGGGAGGTGTGTACAGTGAACTGGCTTACACTTTGTGTACAATCGCAGTCACTTTGATTTTGTTTCTGACTAACCTGACCCAATTTAAACTTTTTGCATGACTACTAAAATGTAAAGAGGTTTTCAAAATATCCCTGTGCATCTCAGACAGCTGGGTAGGGATGTTCAGATTTCAATACTACCAAGAGTTTCCATCCCTTGATAACTGCCGAGGAGATTAAACTACAAGCCAGGATGGACTTCATGTAATACTGGTTTACATAAAAAATTTATTGTAAAAAGCGACATTTTACATGATTCAGCAGCATTTCTATTAACTTATTTTACTTTAATTTTACGTAGCTTACAATTCAAACTTTTGAAAATACAGGAGAAAAATGACTAATACTATGAACAAGAGATTTTCTCTAATCTGGATCTTTGTTACTAAGCAACAAAATTTTAAATGAAATAAATATGCTCAAGCTTACAATTTCCATTGCGGAGCACCTTGATAAAAAGAACTTCCAACCACTTGTTTATAACTAGTTCTATTATTAGAGTACCAATTTTCGTGAGAATTATAATTGTATACTCAAGGCATTTACTGTGCCATCTATTTTTAAAATTATACTTCTACAAGTCAGAATTAACACATCTGCATTAACTGGCTGCTTATTACAGTGCCTTGTATTATCCATTATTCTCTCTGTTATACTCTTAGGAGTTACCAAGCACTTAATGACTGACCCCAAGGGAAACAGTGAGTTTTGGTTTGTTCATTGAGGGTGTTGGGGAAATGAAACTCACTGTTTCCTGTGGGAACAGTCATTCAGTGGTTTGCTATACCTCCCAACTCAAAACTAGAACAAACCACAAAACATTTGCTTCATGCCAGCTGGCACACAAATTTGCCACGGTTTCAAGGTGTATGACCTGATCACGTGGGAGTCGAAAGTTCAAGTTATTGCTTCCATAGTGAGTTAGTGAGCTTTAACCCATGACACATGACATGTTCTCCTACAATCAGAAAATGCAGTTAAGTTGGGAGGTACAACAAACCTATTACTGCTTGCATTAATTGAAGACAATGACATTAACACAGCTATATTTTGCAATGTTAAATTGTGATGATTGCATAATAATTATAAGATCAACAAAATCAATAATGAATAAATTGAGATTAACACAACTAAATTTTGCAATGTGCAGTTCCAGAAAACATTCATACTGTCCCCACAGAAGGGATTGGAATTTCCTGGGGGTGGGGGACCACCACTGCACTTACTAGTTAAACATACAGTATTAAGTAACGCAGGTATCCTTTGGTTACCCTTTGTCCATTGGTTCTACCACAAGAAATAAACAAAAATAAAACCCACTCTTTTAAGGGTTAGGCTTCCTAAAAGCCTGTTCCAGATTCTCATAACCAGACTCAGTCTTAGTTGACAAGTCTCAAGGGCAGACCTGGGCTAGTCTAGACTTAGTTGTTCAAGAGCAACAACAAGGTTTATTTGTGCTGTAAAAAAACTAATTAAAAGCAATTAATTATACAATATTAATTAATAATACATTTCACAGCAGGTCACCCAAAATAACTATGAGGCTAAACTACTTGGATGACCACCATTTATTGATTAAAAATAAAGAAACTAGTAATACAGAACACTGGATAAAATGTGTGGCTTATCAGGTACACTCAAACATGTACAAATGATATTCATCTGTTTCATCCATAAGGTACTGTGAGGTTGAGCTTGCTTTGAACAATGGTAGACAACAGTGCGAAATGTAAAGCTGGTAAAAAAAATTTAATATGCAGTCCCTGAATTGATCTTATGTACAAGTCCAAATTGTTCAGTTATCAAGCTTACAGAAATCTGATATGTGTGTACCAAATTTGCCACCATCTTGCATTGTATATGCAGCGAACAAAGAGCTATATTTTATCTAATTTATTAAGCGATGCTTCAACTAAGTGTAGTTCTTTTGTTTAAACAAGACATTCTACAATCCAAATCATGATTGTTTCCCACACTGGATCTGATTTTAGTCTTTACACTTACACATACCAGTAACTTAAACGATGCATTCACATATTACGACCTATCCACGCTTTAAGCCAGATCGACACCCACAAGCATCCTGTGGATGACCCGTCTCTTTAGCAAAAAACTTCCTTTTTCATGTTGCTGTACTTTAACTGTTGGCTTGAGCTCACCCCATAGCAAATTTTGGACACAAACTTTATATTTCAAATTTGGCCAAAGGTCTTCCTTGTCACCAATTAAGGCTGATTCATTACATGCCGAAGGTCACCCACATCACTCACTCTATTAAGAACATTTTGATAATAACTCGTATTTACACAGTATAATATTATTTAGATAACACTCAGTATGTTGTATTGGAAATCTTGGAATCTGATTGGTTCTACCATAAATCTATTTGCTGACAGAGCATTACTGTATACCCATGCTCTTGAATAGGAAACTTTAGCTAATAAATCCTTGGTTTTTGACATTAATCCATCAGAGTATTTGCACTCCTTAACTCTGCTAGGCCTCATTCGAGTGCAGGTTTTTGTTGAGGTTTGATGGTCAAGGGTAAAATGTCGAGGGTTGAGGGGAAAATGTTGAGGGTCCAAGCAATATTTAAAAAGTTGATGTTACTAAATAATGTTTTTAATGTTTTTAGTATTAAATAGATATATAATGCTAGTTCTCGTGGTTCCTTTCTTCAGCTCTTTCTCGCCTTGTGTATGTTGGGAAATAATAATAATAATAATTAATAATAATAATAATAATAATTGTCGCAGCTAATTGCCGTTGCAAAGTACAGCAACGACGCAGCTCAACAAGGTCGAACCGAAAGCATACATACATTGGCGCCTCTGGCAGCCACTATACGGTCCATGTGTGACCTTGGAGCACAGCTTACAGCCAGCTGGAATCAGCTGTATGTTGGTTTTTGCTGAGGGGGGAAAACCAGAGAACCCGGAGAAAAACCCTCGAAGCAGAGAAGAGAACCAACACAAACTCAACCCA